CCGTACCCTACACTTGGTGATATCCCACACTGGCATACAACTCCCCCATAGCCTCAGGCACCTCAAGGGCCCCACAAGAACCAAAGGGCTGACGCTAACACTCCGGTAAGAGACATACAAGACCTGAAGGACCGGCTCCCAATGCCGTTTGATACCTTCGACGACTTAGACGCGTGCTTGCCTGCCCCTCAAGCCAGATACTTAATCCCACATAAATCTGCCATGTAAGTGCAGCGTACAAGTAAAACCATAACCGCAAGCTGAGCTAAACAAGATGGAGAAAGACTGGGTCATACGAAGAGTCTTCAATCACACGGACTGGTGAAACTCAATCACAGCAACTGCTAAAAAAGACGGCCCATTCAGGTTGTGTCTAGATCTAGTGTAAGAGTCGAGGTACTTCGAGTACTTTTGGGGCCGAGTCCACAAAGTACACTTTGACAAGTCCGAGTCCAAAGCACCGAGAATGAGTACATTCAAGGCCGAGAACTGGGCCGAGTCCGAGTAACTTAGTCCGAGTTCGAGCCCGAGTCCGAGTACAATACCAAAAATGTACATTTATTTTAAAGAAATTAATAAATAAATCTAATTAAATGAAAACAAACACAACATGCAATCCACTCTTCTTTACCAACTCGTTAACACTAAACACACTTCCACCGACAACTACCGGGTGTCAACTACCTTGACACAGCGCAAGAGCCGGCGAGTACCTCCAGTAACAGTCACCCATCTGGACTTCGCCGATGACATAGTACTGATCTCAAACACTGTGGAACAGGCTCGTACCCTTCTCCTCTCGGTGGAGGAAAAATGTTTGAAGATGGGATTACATCTGAACGCTGGGAAGACCAAAGTGCTGGCATACAACACGACTGACGCTACCGTCCACACCCGAGACGGCACACTGCTGAAGATCGTGTCCGATTTCAAATATCTTTGAGCGTATGTCGACTCAAGCGGGAAAAACATCAAAACCAGACGAGGATTGGCGTGGTCAGCACTTCACAGCATGACAAATGTATGGACGTCAGCCATCAGTACAAATCTCAAAAGGTCGCTCTTCATCTCCACGATTTAGTCCGTCATGGTGCATAGATGTGGACCCTCACAACCAAGGAGGAGAAGTCACTGGATGGATGCTACACTCGCATGCTACGTAGAGCCCTCAACTTATCGTGGCAGGATCGTATGGTGAATGATGAATGATGACCCCTACAACGGCATGCAGAAAGTGACTCACAAGATCATAAAGCGTCGTCTTAATCTCGCTGGCCACTGCGTCCGCCACCCTGAGCTTGCTGCTCACCCAACCATACTGTGGGAGCCCAGCCAGGGCACTGCATTAAGAGGGAGAAGAAGTCTGACCTTTGTGGACCAGCTCAAGAAGGACCCTGATCTCACATCTGCAGAGGAGCTGCGCACCTGCATGGTAGATCGAGACAGCTGGAGGAAGAGGACTCAGGGACTGGTTCGTGATGTCGTCACTACCCAGGCGATCCCGACATGATGAACACTAAACAACTGTTATTAGTGTAAACAATGTAGAAACATCAATAATAAAACAAAATTCATCAAATCAATGAATGAACTGGCACTTTGTTTTCACCGTTTCTTAAAAAAGAAGGGAAATCATGGATAGCTGGGTAGACACCGGAAGTATTGCCTATTTTGGAAACCTTTTTCCAGACAACAAGAAACACCTAAAATTAACAAAACTAACAAAAAGCGAGACTTCAATTGCTGGTTGTTTGTTATTATATACTGAAAAGCCTTGAAGCGACGAGCGACTTAGGAAGTATGAGCTTGGCTGGCTCCCGATTCACGAAACCTCAGTGCTACGACTTCGAATGTTAGTAACATTGGGAGGCAGAAATTAGATTAAGCCGTAATCCAGACTGCAACCGAGCCATCGTGCTAGCATTGCGTTCCAGGTAGAGCAATGGAATCGATTAAAAAGAAATGTACTCGATGTGTACTCACGAGTACTGGGGTCGAGCACCGAGTACTAAACCGTCGAGTCCGTGCAAAATTCGAGTACGAAGAATTGAGTACGGGCCAAATCCAATTTTGGACGGGCCGACTACTTTTGTGTCCTCGAGTATGAGTACTCCAACACTGTCTAAGTCCCAATCAGCTCAACACATGCCTTAAAAGTTATCCACACAAGACCTCCACTCTTGGGGAGCTCAAGCCAGAATTTGCACAGGCAGAGATCGTCTACAAGCTAGACGTCAAAAGAAAGGTATTGATCTGCCCATCTCGAGGAGTCTGAAGAGCTGAAAACATACACAATACCATTTGGTTGCAACGGCTTTCGTCGCCCATCCTTCGGCTTATAAGTAAGCATGGACGATAGTCCAACAAAATATGGTGAAACTTGGTATGTTGGTAAGCCGGGATGGTGTTATTAGTAAACATTGAAGTGACGTCAGGATAACGTCATCATGTGATTTTATACATTTTTTTGAATTTTGAAGATTATCAATATATCTCTCGAACCTAACATGCTAAATCCAATTTTTTTTTTTTTTGAGGAGTTTATAAGGTAATAGATGCATGTACAAACTTTTGACATCATGATGACATCTACATTTTTTTCAAATTTTTTTTATAAGTGTTAGTCTGATTGCTCTGAAACTTGGTGGGTTGGTAGATACCGTTGATCAAATGAAAAAAAAGTAAAGTCATGATGACGTCATCAACTGCTGTATTAACTTTAAAACATTTTATACTTTCTTCTACTAGCAAAATGTGACATAAATTGCAATCAAAGTGACTTCAAACTTGAACTACGCAAAGACATAGACCCCGTGGTTAGTGTGGCCCTATACAAGTGACGTCATGACGATTCATCAATGTCTTATGACGTCACCTTAAAGGTGTCTATTGTAAGAGTTTATATCTAGAGAACTGTGAGTCCGATTGGGTTAGAACTTGGTATGTACATAGATATGGACGTGTAACAGACCAAAACAATAGATGTCATTACTTCGTCATCATGGGTCTTGATACGTCATTAAATTTTAAGGTCCTGTATCTGGAGAACTCCAAGAACAGCTAAGTATTGTCATGGAACTATGTTCAAAGCAAAATATGTTCAAACAGTATACCACCCTCACCATGCCCCCTCCCCCAAATACATTAACACTTGATTTAAGATATTGTAACGAAAATGCAAGGCATAATTAGTTTCCAGTAAGCACACTTTATTCTTCACTCTGATAAAATACAGGTTCTTTTCAAAAACTTAATTGATAAGACTTATGGAAGATAAGAAGATAAGTTTAAAGTTATCAACTTGTATTTCAATGAGAAGAATTCATGCCAATACAGTTGACTGTATATTGATAATAGGGCCTATGATAAATTAATGGTAGAATAACTGTGAAATGAGATGACTTATACAAGTTTAATTCATCGAAGCTTTCTAGGTCAAGATGCTATGATTATTGTGAATAAGAATAATATTTGGCGCAGTGGTTTATGACCAATCAGAGCATTGAAAGAGACATTTTGTCATGATGCGGTAGCTCCTTGCGCTATGTACGCGCCCAAACGCTATAAAAGACTAGCCAAGTCAGGGCTCGGCATTCAGATCGTGATTGGTTCTGGTCCGGTGAGTGTCGTATGTCCATACATTTATGATACGTTCTGTGAGGGACACCAACTACACGTTCCATAAGTTACAGTGTGTATTGAACTGGCGGCGCCAATGCCACAAGTCCGTGTGAAGACTCGGTGAGTTCGTTCCATTATATACTGGTTTGAAAGGACCCATAAACACAACAGTAAGGAACTTCACCTAGAAGAAGGAGCGCATCGTGCTCAACGTTCGATTGCAATGCACATTGGCGCTTCGCCAGTATTGGAAGACAATAAAACCATTATTATTATTTGAAGAAGAACACGATCTCTCCAGTCAGAATTTTTGTCTAGTCTCTATAGTCATTTAGTACTTGAACCAGTAATTTCGCGCTCGTTACAATATCAAACTACTTTATTGTATCGAACAAGATTATATTTACCTTGTCTCTCCGACGTCAAGTTGTAATTGATATTAACTTACCTGGACTAACAATGATAGGGTTCTGGCTACCGCTGATTGTGCCGGCGGTTCCTATGCTGGCTCCACTGTTTTGTGGGTAATCTATCAAAACAAGGATTATAAGGGTTTATTAAACACATGTCTCGCACTTAAAAACTGAATTTTACATGTGAACATCATATATGATTTAAACAAAAAAAATACTTATCGTACTAAAACATAATAATTTGTGATTAAAAACCAAATATTAAAAGCTTTGTTCATTTAATATAAAAAGCTTAACATTAAAAGTTATGCAATTGTACAGAATTGTATCTTGTTTTCCCATGGAATTTTCAATGTATGTTATTAGTTTTTGGCATAAAGTTTGCGTCTCCGTTGGGTTTTGTTGCCGAATACATATTTTTCAGTTTAACAGATGTTCTAGTTTTTATTTCCAAACATCTATTTTCCAGCAATAAACCAATTGTTTATTTTTACTTTTGAATGAATCATAACAAAAAATCCACTTATATTTAAAAATAATTACTTCACAAATTGTTAAGCATAATACGCATGCGTTAGTTGTTAACTGAATGGTTGTCGGACTTCACCTTTCAATTAAAACAACATATCCAAATTAAACTTTCAGGGAAAATGTAAAATTTCTCATCGATAAGTGGGCCTTCATATATCACTGATATGCCTACATCACAGACTTGTATTCGAGTCACCAAACCTCGAGTCCGAGTCCGAGTCTGAGTCACCACTACCGAGTCCGACTTCGAGTCCGATGATGCCCTGACATTCTCCAAAGCCATTGAACTTGCCAAAACGCTTGAAACAGCCACAAAGGATCAGCAGGACATTAAGGCCACACCAATCGGCCAGACCAGACTCATAGTCCAAGTCAAGGGCAAAACTCAAGACTTGCTGTTCCTCATCCTGCCTCAGAGACCAGTCATAGGCAAGCATGCCTGTGACTCGCTTGGATTGGTCCACAGAGTCTACACTCTACTCAGCCATGAGAGTGTTTTTGAAGGGGGTGGATGTCTGCATGGACAAGCAGTTTGCAACAAGGTAGACGAAGCCACCACCCCTTACTGCGTCATGACTCCTCGTCGTATCCAAATTCCTCTCATGCCCTAACTGAAAGAGGAGCTGGAGAGGATGGAGCAATAGAACATCATTCAGCGTATCACTGACCCCACAGATTGGTGCTCGCCTATCGTCAGGGAGAGGTTTACCATACCAACTGTCGAAGAAATCCTCGGCAAAGTCGCTGGCGCCCAGATATTCTCCCTGCTAGACGCCAAACAAGGCTTCTGGCAAGTACCACTGACAGAGGAAAGCCAGAAGTTTACTACCTTTATTACACCATTCGGGCGTTACTGCTTTAAACGCCTTCCATTTGGCACCACATCGGCACCAGAAATATATCAACGCATCATGTGCGACCTTCTTACCGACATAACAGGAGTTGTGGTGTACATGGACAACGTACTGATCAACGATCGCACAACAGAAGAACACGATGAAAGACTCCAGCGCGTTCTCGAAATTGCGCAAAACGCTGGACAACGGCTGAACAAGGACAAATGCAAAATTGCCCAAACAAAGGTCGACTTCCTCGGCATGAAGCTCGATAAGGATGGCATCCATGCCGACCCTGCAAAGATAGCGGCGATCATCCAAATGCCACTACCCACCACCAAAACCGAAGTCAAACGACTAATGGGAATGATCAATTGGCTCGCGCGGTTCATTCCCCATGTCTCCTCAGTCGCTGCACCAATAAATGACCTACTGAAGAGTGATGTCCGCTGGGTGTGGGGATCACCACAGCAGTCAGCTTTTCGCAGCATTAAGACACTCCTCACATCAGCTCCTTCACTCGCTTTCTGTGATCCAAATAAGCTGACCATGGTTAGCGCTGATACAAGAGAATACGGACTGGGTGGATGTATTATTCTGCAGCAACAAAATGACAGGCAGTGGAAGCCAGTGGCGTACTGCTCAAGAAGCCTCACTCCATCTGAACGACGCTACATGCAGATAGAGAAAGAGCTGTTGGCTTCGGTGTGGTCGTGCGAAAGGTTTTATGTATACCTTCGAGGCCTTCAAGTCACCATACAGACTGACCTTAAACCGCTGGTTCCACTCATCAACATTAAGGATCTGTGTGACGCTCCGCTGATGTGTCAACGACTTCTTATGCGTCTCATGAAGTACCACTGCTCCGCAGAGTACGTACCTGGCGAACACCTCACTGTGGCCGATACCCTGTCTCGCGCACTCTTGAAGTCATCGGTCACTGAAAGCGACAACCTTCCAGACGAAGTTGAAGCACATGTCCATATGGTCACAAGTCACTGGCCAGTCTCCCAGGGGGAATTTGGACGAGATCAAGCGTGAAACTGCCCTCGATGAAGTGCTGGTGCAAGTCGCATCATACATTCGCAGTGGCTGGCCAAAATACTCCCGCGACATTGAATCAACAACAGTGAAGCTCTACTGGGAGAACCAAGACAACCTCAGCTTCGTCCAGGGGATCCTCGCCCATGGCGACGGCATCGTCATCCCGGCAAATATGCGCCAAGAAATGCTATTGAGGATTCATGAAGGTCACCAGGGAATACCAGAATCTAGAGCCCGAGCTGTTCCAGCCGTTTGGTGGCCAGGTATTGGGAGCGACATTGCCCAGTACGTAGAGAAATGCTCCTTCTGTCAGACCAAGCAGTCAGCACAGCGAGCGGAACCTCTAATCTCGACTCCGCTTCCTGAACGACCTTGGCAACGTCTTGCCTGTGATCTGGCAGAGGTCAATGGGAGACACTACATTGTCCTAGTTGACTACTCTTCGCGATGGATTGAGGTCCATCATCTCAAGACAACAACGCCGTGGGCCGTCATTAACTTTTTGAAGGCCACTTTCGGCATACCTGAGGTTATCGTCACCGATAATGGGCCAAAGTTCCTGACCGAGTTCAACCAATTTGCAAGTGAGTATGACATCCAACATCTTACATCTAGCCCCAACTGCCCTCAGGCGAATGGAATGGCCGAGAATGCAGTCCACATTGCTAAATCAATATTCCGGCAGCCTGATCCTCTGCGAGCATTGCTGACCTACCGATCCACACCAATCTCAGGCCTCAACCTTAGAAGAAGGAGCGCTTCGTGCTCAACGTTCGATTGCAATGCACATTGGCGCTTCGCCTTATCGTTATCCACATAGACATTAGATTATACGCATCGGGCACGGTGTGTGCCACCAGTATTTGAAGACAATAAAACCATTATTATTATTTGAAGAAGAACACGATCTCTCCAGTCAGAATTTTTGTCTAGTCTCCATAGTCATTTAGTACTTGAACCAGTAATTTCGCGCTCGTTACAATATCAAACTACTTTATTGTATCGAACAAGATTATATTTACCTTGTCTCTCCGACAGCAAGTTGTAATTGATATTAACTTCACCTGCACTAACAATGATAGGGTTCTGGCTACCGCTGATTGTGCCGGCGTTTCCTATGCTGGCTCCACTGTTTTGTGGGTAATCTATCAAAACAAGGATTATAAGGGTTTATTAAATACATGTCTCGCACTTAAAAACTGTACATGTGAACATCATATATGATTTAAACAAAAAAAATACTTATTGTACTAAAACATAATAATTTGTGATTAAAAACCAAATATTAAAAGCTTTGTTCATTTAATATAAAAAGCTTAACATTAAAAGATATGCAATTGTACACAATTGTATCTTGTTTTCCCATGGAATTTTCAATGTATGTTATTAGTTTTTGGCATAAAGTTTGCGTCTCCGTTGGGTTTTGTTGCCGAATACATATTTTTCAGTTTAACAAATGTTCTAGTTTATATTTCCAAACATCCATTTTCAAGCAATAAACAAATTGTTTATTTTTACTTTTGAATGAATCATAACAAAAAATCCACTTATATTTAAAAATAATTACTTCACAAATTGTTAAGCATAATACGCATGCGTTAGTTGTTAACTGAATGGTTGTCGGACTTCACCTTTCAATTAAAACAACATATCCAAATTAAACTTTCAGGGAAAATGTAAAATTTATTTCATCGATAAGTGGGTCTTCATATATCACTGATAGACCTACATCACAGACTTGTATTCGAGTCACCAAACCTCGAGTCCGAGTCCGAGTCTGAGTCACAGAGGTCGAGTCCGAGTCTGAGTCACGAGTCACAAAGGTCGAGTCAGAGTCTGAGTCACACAAGTCTGGAACTTGCAATTATGCGACCCTTGACCGGGCAGTTGCCGAAATGATGGCATGGTGTTTGCGGTGGACTCTGAACTATATGAAGTTACTTCAAATCAAGCCATTTTGATTCAATCACGTGATGTTTTAACGCACTCAATACTAGTCTGCAGAAGACAGCTTTGTTTCCCGTCACATTCCAGTCTTGATGAGGCAGGAACCTTACAGAAGCAAGTCTACCCGCAGATCGGATACACGTGTTCATGCGAAAAAAAGGAACCCAAAGACAGTGCATTTTAGGGAGATCTTCAGCCAAAAACTAGAATTTGAAAACTTGTTCGGACAAAAAACCTTTTCAACCCATTTTAAAAACCATTTCATATATCATAATAGGAGGGTGAAAATTAAAGAAACCGCAAGCTCGAAGAAGAGCACAAATATTGAAATTGTAATTAATTGGATAAATCTTTACCTGATCTGCTTTCGCTCTCAGTAATCCTAGCGTGAACTTCTCCTCTCGGTTTCTTTCCTTTCAGCTTGCTATGTTCTTGAGCCCCTCCCACTTGAACCTCTGGTTCAGATTCCTCTCGATGAGCAACATCCTCCTGTCTCGGTCTCTGGTCCTCGGATGATGTAGTCCATTTCTCCTTGCTATGTTCTTCAGCCCCTCCTACCTGAACTTCTGGTTCAGTTTTGTCTCGATGAGCGACTTCCTCGTGCAGACGCAGTATCTGTTCATTACATGATGTTCCTTTCCGTTTGCTCTCTTGTGTAGCCCCTCCCACTTGATTCTCTTTTTGAGGTTCATCTCGATGACTCTCTAATTGCCCATGCCTAGGTCCATGTTCTTTTATAGACGTCACTCCCTCTTGTGCGTTCTCGAATTCTCCCAGTTTCTGTTTTTTTTGTGGAAGCTCCTGACTCAGTCTGTGTTCCTCAATGGACAGTCTTGCGCGTTTGTGCTTGCCCTGTTCTTCAACAACAACTCTTTGTTCATGTAACTGATGATTGTTTTGCTCAGAAACTTCTTCGTGTACCGGTCTCTGTTCCTCGGGTGATATAGTCCCTGTCTGCTTACTTTGTACCTTTGCCCCTCCCACTTGCAACTCAGGTTTAGGTATGTCTTGGTTTTCAACTTCTTCCTGTCTTGGTCTCTCCTCGTCAAATGATGTAGTCCCTTTTTGTGGGCTCTGATCTTCAGCCCCTCCCACATGAGCCCCTAATTGGGGGTTGTCTCGATAACAAACTCCTTGCTGTGTCGGTTTCTGTCCCTCATGTGATGTAGTCCCTTTCTGCTTGGGCGACTCTTTAGCTCCTTCCTCTTGTGACAATGGTTGAGGTTTGTCTCGATGACGAAGTTCCTCCTGTTTAACCCTCTGTTGCTCTTCTGATGGTATCATCGAGACAAGCTTATCACGCCCGATTGAATTTAACGCATCTCTCAAACTCTGAAATCCTTCCCCGCGACTTGTTTGCTTTCTCCACCAAGAAAGCAGCATCTGTAGGCTCCTTTCTGCTTGTTCTTGGAAGGTGGTTTGGATTTGCTTGATTTCTGCTTCTGCAAATCCCAGCGATTGTGCCAATTCTTCCCAGGATGATTGAATTTTCGTTGCCAAGTCCCGGAGGAATTGACAATCACCAGAGCGTTTGTCTGCCAAACAAAACATAAGTTGGAAGTTTATATGTATCTGATTGAAAGGCAATTAAGTTTAGACTTTGGTTAGCGACGTTTATAAATATCAGTGCTATTTTTTTATTGAATTGTTTATCCTTTTAGAAATAAGTGGCAAATGCTGGGAAATTTTGAGACATTACAGCGGAGGAGGCGGTAAAACACATTAACTTAGTTCACTCTTTAACTACAAGTAATTGTACTACAGATACTCATAATGCCAACAAGAAAAGGCTAAAGCATCAATCCTGTTTTCGTAATCGCACTGTCAAAGATAATGTTTCCCATGAGCATTTACCTTTGGGTCCACCTCCCAGTAGGCCATCAGTACACAGACGGAGTGAGATGTTCTCGTCCTGATGAATGCCGCAGTCGTGAAGTGTCAGCAAGTTACAGAGCTGAAAAAAAAAACAATTTTAACGATCCTCATATAACACTGTTGAAAACCAAGGTTTAAAAAAACCCATCTTGGTGGTTGGATAACAAAACACAGGTAAAAATTTATATACATTTTCCCGCAGTGCTTTTTCATCTTAAGACCTAATCAGTCGTGATAAGACCAGCAAACGCTATTGCTAAATCTACATTATACCAGCATCAGGGGTAGCACTATTTTAATATACACAACTGATGTAATCTGATTCCAAAGAGGTTGTCACTAAACCCATAATGCATAATGCATGGCCTTTAATTAGATGGATTGGTAATTGGTACTTTTTAGCATGGTAAGTTTAAAATATGGAACCTTCCTTACCTCAAAATTACGAAAGTTTCTTCGGATGAACAGACGCTGTTGTTGAGGCTGGACACTGATTTTCTCATTTATTATTTGTTTCAAGGCCGAGACAGATGTCTCTGGGTCCATTTGGAGACAGAGCGTCGATGGTTTATGACGGATGTGAAATCTGATGAAGACTTGCACATGTCTGAAACTGTCAGAAATGAGATTTTTCATGTTAAGGCTCATTTATGCTTTTCTTGTTATGCTAAATTATTAATTATTTAATTTGTCAATTCTGCAGACCATTTTCTTTCTTGCGTCTTTATTAATTTCTAGTTCCTTGCTTCACTGACATTTAGACTGTTTCTTTAGATTCGTCTTTCATGTTCATGATGGTCTAGGTTTCCTCCATGTCTTTTGGTTGTTGTTGTTGTTGATTTATGACTCATGAATAAAAAGCATGAATTAATAATTGAACTGACTTAATAAAGCAAAGGAATGAAGGTAAAGACCATCAACCATTATTGTAACCATTCTCTACAATATTGATAGAGTGGGAAAATATACAAGGTAGTTTGATTGTCCACAAAATGCGCGATGCGTAGGTAATTCTTTAAACTCGAGGTGCATGACGAATAGCAGCGTTTACTTATGTCTTACCAGATAAGTTGAAGTTTGTCTTGATCACAAGCTTGTTCCTTTTTCAGTTTCTCTTCCTCGGTTGATGCCTCCCCGTTTTGTTTGCTCTCTTCGTCAGCTCCTGTACCTCGACGCCTTTCTGGCTCGGGTCCAGCTGCTTCGTGTCTCGATTTGCTTGCTACTGATGCAAGTTTTAAAACAGAGTACATTACAATGTTATTGTTTACCAATTGTTTAAAAAAAAAATGTCTTTTCTGTTTTTGTTTTCAATTAAATAGGTTATTTATTTTTAATTTCTGATTTATATAAAGAGTTCTGTAAGAGAGCAAGATACCATAATCCCATCCCCGAAAATAGAGCGTCTAATGGCTATTCGAAAATCACTCTTGAATATGAAAAATCTGCTTGTTCACATTTTAGCTCACCTGGTACATTTTGAGCCAAATCAGTCAACCCGATGGCCTCCAATGCTCGTCTCACCTTCTGAGCTGCTTCGTCGCGATCTGTCGTCTTTTCCCACCAAGTGAGTAGCATGTGACGGCTCTCTTCAGTGCTGCCTTCGTTGGTGGTTTGGATGTCTGCAATTTCCGCTTCTTCATATCCCAAGTGTTTAGCCAATTCTTTCCATGATGATTCAGTTTTCGAGGACAAATCCTGGAGGTACTCTTCATCAATGTTGGTTTTATCTGCCAAGACATTTAAACTTCAGTTAAACATTTTGAAATCCAACCATCACTGTATCAAATATCAACGGCAATTACAACAAAAAGAGACTCTTGATCCTTATTTAAAACCCAAATTTAGATTCTTTATTTACCTTTGTTTCTAACCTCTATAATTTACCTTTTGGCTCCTCGTCATCACTTGGGTCTTCTATTGACAGCCGGAGAGAGATGATTTCATCCTTGTCGACACCATTCTCCTCAAGTGTGAGCAAGTCACAGAGCTAACAAAGTA